TGTATTTCTTAGTAGAGACGGGGTTTCACCGTGTTAGCCAGGATGGTCTCGATCTCCTGACCTCGTGATCCACCCGTCTCGGCCTCCCAAAGTGCTGGGATTACAGGCTTGAGCCACCGCGCCCGGCCGCATTTTATTTTCTATAAAACCCTGTGTATACACTCTTTTTTCAAAAATTGAGGTGAAAATCATATAACATCAAATAATCTTCCTTCCTTCCTTCGTCCCTCCCTCCCTCCTTCTCTCTCTCTCTTTCTCTCTTTTCTTTCTTTGTATTCCTTTGTCACCCTAGCTGGAGTGCAGCATGAACATATAGCTCACTGCAGACTCCTGGGTTCAAGCCTCCTGCCTCAGCCTTCCTGTTAATGGACATTGGATTTCTTTTTCTTCTTTTTTTTTTTTTTGGAAATGGAGTCTTGCTCTGTTGCCCAAGCTGGGGTGCAGAGGCTTGATCTTGGCTCACTGCAACCTCCACTTCCCAGGTTCAAGCGATTCTCCTGCCTCAGTAGCTGGGATTACAGGCAGGTATGGTGGTGGGCACCTGTAATCCCAGCTACTCAAGAGGCTAAGCCAGGAGAATCACTTGAACCCGGGAGGCAGAGGTTGCAGTGAGCTGAGACGGCACCACTGCATTCCAGCCTGGGTGACAGGAGCGAAACTCCATCTCAAAAAACAAACAAAAAATCAAAACAAACAAACAAAGAAAAAAGAAAATAGAACTGATTCAAATAACTGTGAAGCACCTGAAGGAAAATTCTTGATGGGTAGAAACACAAAGAAACCCTCAAAGACCGCACATCTAAAAAATTCTATTTTATATTCCTGTGAACAGTTTTACTCCTATTGGTAGATTACTGTAAGCTAGTTTATACAATACATATTTTTCCTTTTTGACTGACTTATTTCATTGAGCATAATGTCCTCAAACTAATCATGCCTTCCCAACCATCCCCCAAAGTCTTAACTTATTTCAGCATTAACTCAAAAGTCCACAGTCCAAAATCTCATCTGAGATAAGGCAAGTCCCTTCCACGTGTGAGTCTTTAAATCAAAACCAAGTTAGTTATTTCCTATAAACAGTGGGGTACAGGCATTGGATATACCCATTCCAAATGGGAGAAATTGGCCAAAACGAAGGGGCTGAAGGCCCCCTGCAATTCCAAAATCCAGTGGGGCAGTCAAATCTTTTTTTTTTTTTTTTTTAAGAGATAGTGTCTGTCACCCAGGCTGGAGTACAGTGACTCGATCTTGGCTCACTGCAACTTCTGCCTCCTGGGTTAAAGCGATTCTCTTGCATCAGCCATGGGACTACAGGCTCATGCCGCCATGCCTGGCTAATTTTTTTTTTTTTTTTTGTATTTTAGTAGAAACAGGGTTTCATCATATTGCCCAGGCTGGTCTTGAACTCTTGACCTCAGGCAATCTGCCCACCTCGGCCTCCCAAAGTGTTAGGATTACAAGCGTGAGCCACTGTGCCTGGCCAGGCAGTCAAATCTTTTTTTAAAATTATACTGTAAGTTCTAGGGTACATGTGCACAACGTGCAGGTTTGTTACATATGTATACATGTGCTGTGTTGTTTTACCGCACCCATTAACTCATCATTTACATTAGGTGTTTCTCCTGATGCTATCCCTCCCCCCTCCCCCCACTCCACACTCCACAACAGGCCCTGGTGTGTGATGTTCCCCACCCTATGTCCAAGTATTCTCATTGTTCAGTTCTCACCTGTGAGTGTTAGGTTTTCTGTCCTTGAGATAGTTTGCTCAGAATGATGGTTTCCAGCTTCATCCATGTCCCGACAAAGGACATGAACTCACCTTTTTTATGGCTGCATAGTATTCCATGGTGTATATGTACCACATTTTCTTAATCTAGTCTGTCATCGATGGACATTTGAGTTGGTTCCAAGTCTTTGCTATTGTGAATAGTCAGGCAGTCAAATCTTAAAGCTGCCAGATAATCTCCTTTGACTCTGTGTCTCACATCCAGGTCATGCTGATGTAAGTGGTGGGTTCTCATGGTCTTGGGCGGCCCCTTCCCTGTGGCTTTGCAGGGTACAGCCTCCCTCCCGGTTACTTTCACAAGCTGGCGTCGAGTGTCTGTGGCTTTTCCAGATGCATGGTCCTGAGTCCAAGTAAGGTTGGAGAGGGGCTGCAGGGCTAGATTTGTGGGGGAGGGTGGTGTGTGGGTCTCACTTCCCCTCCCTCAGCTGGGGACACCCCACACCTCTCCTCTCACTTCACCCTCTAGAGGTGAGAGCAAGGATGCAAGATGCGGGATTACCTGGGTTGGAATCCTGAGTCCACTACTATGTAGACGAACTGCCCTGGGCTTGTGACTCAGGTTTTATGCCACTATTTTCCTTAACTGTTAAATACAAAGGCCCCAGCAGTTACAAAACCAGTAACTTTGGGCAGATGACTTAAAGTTTTGCGCCTCTGTTTTTCTCATCTGTGAAATGGGATGATGACGATTCCTCCAGCTTTGTAGGTCTTGCATAAACACGAGCTGAGTTAATGTGTTAAAACGGTGTGCAGTCCATATTAAATGCCGTAAGGAGCATTTGACTTTACTTTGAGTCCCCAATTCCAAAATCCAAAAACCCCTGGAAATCAAGTCGTTTTGGTAAATTGTTTGGCGGCAATTTCTGACCTGAACTAACTTTTTGTTAATTGTAGTCTTTCTTTTCTTTTCTTTTTTTTTTTAAGACAGAGTCTTACTCTGTTACCCAGGCTGGAGTGCAGTGGCACTATCTCAGCTCACTGCAACCTCCACCTCCTGGGTTCCAGAGATTCTCCTGTCTTAGCCTCCCTAGTAGCAGGGATTACAGGTGCCCATCACCACACCCAGCTAATTTTTATGTTTAGTAGAGATGAGGTTTCACCATATTAGCCAGGCTGGTAATTGTAGTCTTGATTTTTTTTTTTTTTTTTTTTGAGATGGAGTTTCACTCTAGTCACCCGGGCTGGAGTGCAATGGCATGATCTTGGCTCACTGCAACCTCCACCTCCTGGGTTTAAGTGATCCTCCTGCCTCAGCCTCCCGAGTAGCTGGGGTTACAGGTGCCGGCCACCATGTCCGGCTAAGTTTTGTATTTTTAGTAGAGACGGAGTTTTCCCATGTTGACCAGGCTGGTCTCGAACTCCTGACCTCAGGTGATCCGCCCACCTCGGCCTCCCAAAGTGCTGGGACTACAGGCATGAGCCACCGCGCCTGGCCTGTAGTCTTGATTTGTATCCCACTTAGTGTGAATGTTAACACTTCTCATTGTAAAAAAAAAAAAAAAAAATAGGTATGGTGTTTGATTACAAAATGCTGCCCCAACCTTGCTAAGGTGATGCATAAAAGACGGTATAAACACCGGGCGCAGTAGTTCACGCCTGTAATCCCAGCACTTTGGGAGGCCGAGGCGGGTGGATCACGAGGTCAAGAGATCGAGACCATCCTGGCCAACATGATGAAACCCTGTCTCTAATAATAACAGAAAAATTAGCCAGGCATGGTGGCAGATTGCTGTAGTCCCAGACTTGAGAGGCTGAGGCAGAAGAATCACTTGAACCTGGGTGGGTGGAGGTTGCAGTGAGATGAGATTGCACCACTGCACTCCAGCCTGGACAACAGAGCGAGACTCCATCTCAAAATAAAATAATAAAAAAAAGATGGTCTAATCCTGTACACCATCTTTAAATACTGGACAGTTCTGGGTTCCAAAATGTATTCGAGGTCCAGTGCAGTGGCTCATGCCTGTAATACCAGCACTTGGGAAGGCTGAGGTAGGAAGATGGGCATTTCGGGAGACTGAAGTTTGAGACCAACTGGGGCAATGTAATGAGACCTCATCTCAAAAAAAAAAAAAAAAAAAAAGCCGGCTGTGGTGGCCTGTGTTGGCGGTCCTAGCTATTTGGGAGGCTGAGGTGGGAGGATCACTTGAGCCCAGGAGTTTGAGGCTGCAGTGAGACACGATCATGCCACCACACTGTAGCCTGGGTGACAGAGCAAGACCCTATATTTTCAGTAGAGGTGAGGTTTCGCCAGGTTGGCCAGGCTGGTCTTGAACTCCTTGACCTCAAGTGATCTTTTATTATTATTATTATTATTAAAGTTCTGGGGTACATGTGCAGGATGTGTAGTTCCGTTACATAGGTAAACGTGTGCCATGGTGGTTTGCTACACCTATCACCAGGCTGGAGTGCAATGGCGCGATCTCGGCTCACTGCAACCTCCGCCTCCCGCGTTCAAGTGATTCTCCTGCCTCAGCCTCCTGAGTAGCTGGGATTACAAGCGCCCTCAACCATGCATGGCTAATTTTTGTATTTTTAGTAGAGATGGAGTTTTACCATGTTGGCCAGGCTGGTCTGGAACTCCTGATCTCAAGTGATCCACCCACCTTGGCCTCCCAACTTGTTAGGTGTTTTGCACTGTCTGCTTTGAGGGACAGCCACCCAAAGTGATCTCTGTGTTTCCTCTCGTCAAATAGAGGCACCAAGGAGAAAACAGAACTTTTTTTTTTTTTTTTGACAGGGATTCTTACTCTTTTGCTCAGGCTGGAGTGCAGTGGCATGGTCACGGCTCACTGTAGCCTTTGACCTCCTGGGCTCTACCCAACCTCCCATTTCAGCCTCCCGAGTAGCTTGGACTAGCATACCACTACATCTGGTTAATTTTTATATTTTTTTGTAGGGATAGTTGTCTCACTATGTTGCCCAGGCTGGTCTTGAATCCCTAGGCTCAAACGATCTGCCTTCCTCGGCCTCCCAAAATGCTGGGATTACAGGTGTGAGCCACGGTGCCCAGACTGCTTCCTCTATTCTTCAAATATCCCTAACCAAGAACATTTTTTTTTTTTTTTTCTGAGACAGAGTCTTGCTCTGTCGCCCAGGCTGGAGTGCAGTGGCACAATCTTGGCTCACTGCAACCTCTACCTCCAGGGTTCAAGCGATTCTCCTGCCTCAGTCAGCCAAGTAGCTGGGATTACAGATACATGCCACCATGCCTGGCTGATTTTTGCATTTTTTAATAGGAAAATGAAAAGACAGAAAAAACTCAATACCCTCCCTTGTCCTACCCGCCACCCCACCCCGACTCCCACCTCAGGTGGCCCCTGTGTGTAAACATTTTCTCTCAAACTTAAATAAAATAAAATAAAATTTAAAAAACCCTCATCAGAAGCAGTGGTCAGGGGCGCACCCACTGCACTCCAAAGAAGGTCTCATCAGTGTTTCTGGAAGGCAAAAGTGTCCCAGTAAGGTTGGTGCAGAGTGTGTCCCCTCGGGCCAGAGGCGTCAGGCGCTGGGAGGCAATGGTACAACCTTGGTGGAAGCTGAGACGTAGCAGGCTGATGCTACGGGAGGCGGGAGAGCAGATTCCCACGGCCAGGGTGGTGGGGTGGTGGTGTCTGGAGGTCGACGTGGAGGAGCAGATGGCCAGTGTCACCTGGATGTGGACCATGTAGATGCCGTCACGACGGATACGTAGCTGCCCCTTGTCCAGCTCTGGTCCACGCAGGAAGGAGCGGCCCAGTGCTGGGCCCCCCTGCCAGTATAGCCTGGGGTCCTGCTGAGGTCCTGGGGCACAGGGTTAGAGGGATGAGAGGATGAAGTTTTAGGGAAACTGAGGCACAGGAGGTCATAGAGAAAGTCAGATATAGAGATTGAGAGTTAGAGATCAAGGGATAGGTTGGACATGGTGGCTCATGCCTGAAATCCCAGCAGTTTAGGAGGCCAAGGCGGGTGGATCACCTGAGGTCAGGAGTTCAAGACCAGCCTGGACAACATGGCGAGATCCCACCTCTACAAACAATAAAAAGTTAGCCAAGTGTGGTGGTGTACGCCTCTGGTCCTGGCTACTCTTGGGAGGCTGAGGCTGGAGGATCGCTTGAACCTGGGAGGATGAGACTGCAGTGAGCTATGATCACACCACTGCACTCCAGTATGGGTGACAGAAACCCTGTCTCAAAAAAAAAAAAAAAAAAAAAAAAAGAAGGGGGGTAGAATGTAAGAGATCTAAAGAGAAGGAGAGAGGAGTAAGGGGAGAGGGGTAGAGAGAGAGAGAAAAAAAAAAACCGAAACAGACAAGGGTAGAGACGGATGGGGAGGGAGAGATATAGAGGGAGAGAATGCATGAGACAGCGAGAGAGAGAATGAGAGAGCAGGAGAGAGTAAGAGAGCACGAGAGAGCATGAGAGAGAGAGCAAGAGAGTGTGTGTGTGAGAGAGGACGAGAGCTACAGAGCTTGAGAGAGAGTGCACGAGAGAGTGAGCGAGAGAGAGTGTGAGAGTGTGAGAGGGAGCGTGCGCACGAGAGGACGCGAGAGAGCCGCGAGAGAGCGAGAGAGAGGACGTGCGAGAGAGCGCACGAGAAACAGCTCGAGAGAATTCCCGAAGGGAAGCCTGCTTGGGTAACACCCTGAACCTCAATAAAAGCTTTGGCTCCCAGGTCCCTTTCTTTTCCTTGCTCTCCACCCGCTGGTTGAGCGTGTGTATGTCTCAGAGAGCTCCGACACCTTCTCATTGGCCCTCTTCTCTCTAGGATCTTTATTTTCTTGAGAGATGGTGTCTGACCCTGTCACCCAGGCTGGAGTGCAGTGGTGCAATCATAGCTCACTGCGGCCTCAGCCTCTGGGGCTCAAGCTATCTCCCACCTCAGCCTCCTGAGTCACTGGGAAGTGGCGTGCGTCACCATGACCAGCTGATTTTCAAAATTTTGTTCTAGAGATGGTGGTCTTGCTATGTTTTGCAAGCTGGTCTCGAACTCCTGGGCTCAAGCGATCCTCCCGCGTCAGCCTCCCAAAGCGCTGGGATCACAGCCGTGAGCCACGGTGCTCGGCCGCATTTCATGTGTTTCTCGCAGCGTCTCCTGTCTCCGTGTCTTATCTGACTGACACACCTGAGCCTCACTCTCCTTCTTACTCGAGGCTCTCCTGGACACTGGCTGTCTTGTGAGGAAGGAACGGAACACAGGTCAAACAGGAGCCACAAGGTTGTTTACCAGGCTTTGCAAATTTCCTGTATTGTTTACCAGGCTTTGCAAATTTCCTGTAAGAGTGACACCTGGTCCCCTGTCAGACACTTAGGCATGACATCATCCACCAGAAGAAAGAACTGACATGTGAAAGACGCTATCAACAACCATGGTCACCACGCCCGGTGCCCCGTCGATGCGGGGCTAGAGTTTACAGTCACTCTCCAGAAAGGGGCCTCAAGACCAAATTACAGGAAAAATATAGGGGGGAGAGGGAGAGAGAGAGAGAGAGAGAGAGAGAGAGAGAGAGAGAGAGAGAGAGAGATCAGGGGTCAGAGACCCAAGGAGAAGAGAGAGAAACAAAGGTCCTTTCCATTACAAAATAGAAGGAACAAGCCTGTAGTGATGTTAGTCTCTGGGGATGAACCGTGGAAAAACAGAAGAGGAAGAAGTGTTCGAGAGAGGCTGGGAGGAGACAGATACTCTCACCTAAAGCAGAATGCTTCATTTCATCTCCCTTAAGGCTTCTTGCCAATGCCACCCACTCAGAGACCCCCTGCCCCCCAGCGCCGCGACTCCACTTTAAATGAAAACCCCAACCCAGGCATGCCGGGATTCCCCACCCACACATCCTTGCCTGATTTTTCTCTAAAACCTGCTCTTGGCCTGTTTTACTCTATGTGGCATTGCTCTGTTTTTCACATGTTCATTTTTATCTTTTGTCATCTCCTCCTCAGTAGGAGTAATGGTAGAAGGGAAGCTCACCAGGCAGGGATTTCTGTCTGTTTTGTGCGCGGCACCGGAACAAGGCCTCCCCACCGCAGATGTATAATTAGTGCTTGTGGCATGAATGGAGGAAGGGTAGCCATTCCTGTGAGCATTTTTGATTACTAACAAAATCCCTTTGATTCTTCTAAGGGAAGAGATCGAATGTGAAGGACTGAGAGCGAAAGAGAGAGAAAGGTAGTGGATGCCCAGAAACACACACCTACCCTCTCTCTCTCTCTCATTCTCTCCCTTTTCCTCTTTCTCTTGGGCATGATCTCTCTTTCTCCCTCACCCTCTTTCTCTTCTTCCCCCTCTGTCTTCTTCCTCTCTCTCTCTGCCATTCGCCTCTTTTCTCTCTTCTTTCTTTTTCTTTCTTTCTTTCTTCGCTTTTTCTTTCATCTTTTTCTTCCTTTCTTTCTCTCTCTCTGTCTCTTCCCTGCCTCCCTCTTTCTTTCATCTTTCTCTTTCTTCCTTTCTTTCTCTCTCTGTCTCTTCCCTCCCTCCCTCTTTCTTTCTCTTTCCTTTCATTTATTTATTTGTTTACTTATTTATTTGATGGAATCTCCTTCTGTCAACTAGGCTGGAGCGCAGTGGCATAATCTCGGCTCACTGCAACCTCGGCCTCCCAGGTTCAAGCAATTCTGCTGCCTCAGCCTCCCGAGTAGCTGGGATCACAGGCACCTGCTACCACGCCCAGCTAATTTTTGTATTTTTAGTGGAGACAATGTTTCACCATGTTGGCCAGGCTGATCTCAAACTCCTGGGCTCAAGTGATCCACCGCCCTCAGCCTCCCAAAGTGCTGGGATTACACCCGGCCGCCTCTCCGGTTTTCATTCACTGTTCCTCTCTGTCTCTCCCTCCCTCTCTCTCCTCTATCTTTTTTTTTTTTTTTCCTCTCTCTCCCTCTCTCTCTTTCTGTCTTTCTCCCTTGCTCTCTCTTCCTGTGTCTCTCCCGGTTTCTTTCTCCCTTTCTTTGCCTGCCTTCTTCTGTCTCTGTCTGTCCCCTCTGTCTCTCTCTCTGTCCTTGTTTCTCGCTGTCTCTCACTCCCTTTCTCTTGGCCTCTCCCTCCCTCTCCGTCTCTCTTCTCTCTGTCTCCCCTTCTCTGTTTCCCTCCCTATCTCTCCCTCTCTCTCTCCCTCCGTCTCTCTGTGTCTCTTTCTCTCTGTCTCTCCCCACTTGTCTCTCTGTGTCTCTTTTCCCCGTCCCTCCACGTCCCCCGTGTTACCTGTATGGTTCAGCTGCAGCTCAGCTATGTCCCACTGGAAGAAAAGACCAGAAAACAGGGCACGGACGTAAGCAGAGAGGTTCTATGTGTCCCCCGTGCCAGGAGCTCTCTTTTCTCTGGCCATCCTCCTTTCCAACTCTCATCCCACGGCGCGCACGGGTGACTTCATTTTATTTTATTTACTCTTAAGACTTCTTAAAGAGGAAGCAGGTCTGAACCAGCGGGGAGCGTAAAGTCGAGACCTTCAAAAGAACTTCTTGGTTTCCCGAATCGTTTTCCTGTATGTCACTGGGCGCGAGTGCACCGCGCGCAGCGGACTCTCTCCGCTGCAAAGGTGCCCGGCGCGGTCCCCAAGGGGACCCCTCCCCCACCCGGAGCGAGTGGCTGGGGTCATCCCGTCCTAGGAGGCTCCAGGGAGCCCCCACGCCCAGCCTTGTGAAGCCCCCAGCAGCCTCTGAGTCAGCCTGCCGGGGAACACCAGAGCCGAGTCATCTTCCATTTCCATGTGCGCCTACCTTTCCCGTCCCGGGATCTCCCTGTACCTCCTGGCAGGGTGACTCTCTCGGAGCCCCTACACCGCGCAGCCTGGTCCCCGCCTCGCCTCCCTGTTCTGGTGTCTGTTTCTGCCCTACCCGATCTTCCTCCCTGGCCTCTTTGTACCCATCTCATTCTGATTTTGTCTTTTCTGTCCCGCGCTTCTCAGTCTCCGCCCTGGTGCACGGTCCCTCTGCCCCTCTCCGTATTCTCTGCCGGAATAAGTTCGGATGTTTTCTTCCCAACTTTCTATCTCAACTCACCCCAAGTGACTCGAGCGGCAGCTGCTGCTGAGCCCGTGAGAGGCGCTGGACGCAGACCACGAGGCAGATCGCCAAGCCCGCGACCAATGGAACCACAGCAGCCCGCAGGACGCACGCATAGGGCCTGCGCCGCACCGCGCAGCCGGAACCCTCCTCCGGCATCGCCGCGGCGATCACCTCCGCTAGCGCAGGCGGGGCGAGGGGGGCGCAGAGCGCTGCGGGGAAAGGAAGGCAGGCAACTGCAGCCCCCTCCCGGGGCTCCTGGGCGTCTACTTGCCTCAACTTGTCAGGGGACCAGCCTGCCCCTCTCTGGGGATGTCCGGCCGGTCGAGGGGAGGGACTAGAGCGATTGGCGAGGGGAAATTCCCTCCAACTGCTACCAGTCTGCAGCTCGCACAGTGGGTGGAGGTGGTTGCCGGATGGGCCAGGCAGTGGCCTCGGGTGAGCCACTGAGTTGCCTGTCCCCAACCCCTCCCCGCCCGATCTTCCTATTTCCCTCTCCACCTCATTCTTCCGGGGCCCATTCATTTATTCAACAAACTTCCACTGCACATTTGTTAGGGACTAGACTGTGTTCTGTGCACTGGGGGTACAGCAGGCATCCAAGAATTGGGGGTGCTCCTCAAATATTCGTGTACCCATCTCCTGCATTTTTTTTTTTTTGAGACGGAGGTCTCCCTCTGTCGCCCAGGCTGGAGTGCAGTGGCGCCATCTCATCTCACTGCAACCTCGGTCTCCTGGGTTCAAGCGATTCTCCTGTTTGAGCCTCGCGAGTAGCTGGGATTAACAGGCGCGCGCCATCATGCCTGGCTAATTTTTTGTATTTTTAGTAGAGATGGGGTTTCACCGTGTTGGCCAGGCTGGTCTTGAACTCTTGACCTCCGGTGATCCGTCCGCCTTGGCCTCTCAAAGTGCTGGGATTAAAGGCGTGAGCCACCGCTCCCGGTCAGTTATCTCCCACATTCTTGGAAACCTCCTGCTTTTTCGTTTAAAGTTAAACTAATATTTTTATTTTTTTATTTTTATGTTTTTGAGACAGAGTCTGGCTCTGTTGCCCAGGCTGGAGTGCAGTGGTGTGATCTTGGCTCACTGCAAGCTCCGCCTCCTGGGTTCACGCCATTCTCCTGCCTCAGCCTCTTGAATAGCTGGGACTACAAGTGCCTGCCACCAAGCCTGGCTAATTTTTTTGTATTTTTAGTAGAGATGGGGTTTCACCATGTTAGCCAGGATGGTCTCGATCTCCTGACCTCGTGATCCGCCGGCCTCGGCCTCCCAAAGTGCCGGGATTACAGGCGTGAGCCACCCTGCCCAGACTAAATGAATATTTTTAGAGACAGAGTGTTGCTCTGTTGCCCAGGCTGGAGTGCAGTGGCGCCACACAGTTCACAGCAGCCTCAAACTCCGGGGCTTCAGTGACCCTCCCATCTCAGTCTTTTGCATAGTTGGGTCTACAGGCACACGCTATCATGCCTGGCTAATTAAATTTTTTTTTTTTTTTTTTTTTTTTTTGTAGAGGATGGGGTGTTACTATGTTACCAGGCTGGTCTCAAACTCCTGGGCTCAAGCGATCCTCTTGCGTAGGCCTCCCCACCGCACCCAGGCCCCTGCCTCTGTTCTTGATGGCTGTAGTGGGTTAACAGCATCCTCCCAGAATTCATGGCCACCTGGAACTGCAGAATATGACCTCATTTAGAAATTAGGGGTTTTTTGCAGATGTAATTAGGATTAAATGAGGTCATACTGGATTAGAGAGGGCCCTCAGGTGGAGAGAAAAGAGACACATAGAGAAGGAGGCCGTGTGAAAACAGAAACAGAAACTGAGCAAGGCAGATGAAAGTCAAGAAACACCAAGGAGTGGCCCGGCGCGGTGGCTCATGCCTGTAATCCCAGCACTTTGGGAGGCTGAGGCGGGCAGATCACTTGATGTCAGGAGTTTGAGACCAGCCTGGCTAACAGGGTGAAACCCCGTCTCTACTAGAAATACAAAAAATTAGCCGGGCGTGGTGGTGGGTGCTTGTAGTCCCAGCCACTCGGGAGGCTGAGGCAGGAAAATGGTGTGAACCAGGGAGGTGGAGCTTGCAGTGAGCTGAGATGGCGCCACTGCACTCCAGCCTGGGCGACAGAGCCAGACTCCGTCTCAAAAAAAAAAAAAAAAAAAAAAAAAAAAAAAATAAATAAATAAATAAATAAATAAAAATAGAAAAATTAGCGGGGTGTAGTGGTGCATGCCTGTAATCCCAGCTACTCGGGAGGTTGAGGCAGAGAATCACTTGAACCTGGGAGGCACAGTCTGCAGTGAGCTGAGATCGGGAGATTGAGACCAGCCTGGCCAACATCGTGAACCCCTGTCTCTATTAAAAATACAAAAATTTGCTGGGTGTGGTGGTGCACGACTGTAATCCCAGCTACTCAGGAGGCTGAGGCAGGAGAATCACTTGAACCTAGGAGGCGGAGGTTGCAGTGAGCTGAGATCACACCACTGCACTCCAGCCTGGGCGACAGAGTGAGACTTCATCTCAAAAACCCAAACAAAACCCAAAGCCAAACCCAAAACCAAAACAAAGAAACATCAGAGATTGCTGGCTAGGTAAATATCAAATAATTGGTGTAGGAGGTCATCTTGGAGGTGCCGTCCACCCACTGTCCCAGACCTGGAGACCTAGGGCTCCCGTGAAGGAAATTCCTTTATTACTTGGGAGATCCCAGGTACTATGTAATCATATGTATACGCTGATTTCTTGGACGTCCCAAAATTCTGGACCTATTTGACTTCCACCTTTCACCTGCCCTGCACATGCTGTATGTAGGCTCAGGCTCCAATATCTCCCATCTCTCCGGTTTCTAGCCACTAGAAAGTGGAAGAGGCAATGGAGTCTCCCCTTGGACCAGTTAGGGGGCATGTGGCACTACTGACACCTTGATTTCAGGCTGTGGCCTCCAGAACAGTGACACAATACATTTCTGTTGTGTGAAGCCATCCAGTTTGTGGCACTTTGTTACAGATTCCCGAGAAAACTAATCCAAAGGTGTAGTTAGGGCATAAAAGCCATCCTAACCTTGTACGATGGTGACAAAATGTATGAGTCGACCCTGACTCATTACAGTTGTACCAAAGCTTGCCAACTGGGTGTGGCTAATGTTTGGTTGTAGACACTGACATTCAAAAGCTTTGTTACATATTGGGGGTGTGGGTGAAGGGCAGGTGGGGACTCTGTGGACCATTTTTGTAGCTTCTTGTGAGCCTTAAACTATTTCACAATAAAAAGTGTCACTCAACTCCTGTTATTTGAGGTAGTTATTGCCCACGAACACCGAACAATTCTCCTAGGGGAAATTATATAGTTAGGGGCCGGGCATGGTGGCTCGCACCTGTAATCCCAGCACTTTGGGAGGCCAAGGTGGGTGGATTACTTGAGGTTAAGAGTTGGAGACCAGGCTGGGTGTGGTGGCTCATGCCTGTAATCCCAGCACTTTGGGAGTTTGAGGCGGGCAGATCACAAGGTCAGGAGATCAAGACCATCCTAGCTAACACAGTGAAACCCCATCTCTACTACTAAAAATACAAAAAAATTAGCCAGGCGTGGTAGCGGGCGCCTGTAGTCCCAGCTACTTGGGAGGCTGAGGCAGGAGAATGGTGTGAACCTGGGAGGCGGAGCTTGCAGTGAGCTGAGATCGTGCCACTGCGCTCCAACCTGGGTGACAGAGCAAGCCTCTGTCTTAAAAAAATAAAAATAAAAATGAATAAATAAAAGAGGTTCCAGCCTCTTTTTCCGGCTGGAACTATGGAGGGTGTAGAAGAGAAGAAGAAAGTTCCTGCTGTTTCAGAAACCCTTAAGAACAAGCGAAGGAATTTCGCACAGCTGAAGATCAAGCACCTGAGAAAGAAGTTTGCCCAAAAGATGCTTCGAAAGGCAAGGAGGAAGCTTATCTATGAAAAAAGAGAAGCACTATCACAAGGAATATAGGCAGATGTACAGAACTGAAATTCGAATGGAAAGGATGTCAAGAAAAGCTGACAACGTCTATGTACCTGCAGAACCCACATTGACGTTTGTCATCAGGACCAGAGGTACCGATGGTGTGAGCCCAAAGGTCCGAAAAGTGTTGCAGCTTCTTCACCTTCGTCAAATCTTCAATGGAAACTTTGTGAAGCTCAACGAGGCCAATCAACGTGCTGAGGACTGTAGAGCCATACGTTGCATGGGGTACCCAAATCTGAAGTCAGTAAATAAACTAATCTACAAGCGTGGTTATGGCAAAATCAGTAAGAAGTGAATTGCTTTGACAGATAACACTTTGACTGTGTGATCTCTTGGAAAATATGGCATCATCTGCATGAAGCATGTGATTCATGAGGTCTATACTGTTGGAAAACGCTTCAAAGAAGCACATAACTTCCTGTGGCCCTTCAAATTATCTTCTCCACAAGGTGGAATGAAGAAAAAGATCACTCATTTTGTAGAAGGTGGAGATGCTGGCAACAGGGAGGAGCAGATCAACACAACAGGCTTCTTAGAAGAATGAACTATGGTGTGTGCCACAATTATTTTTCTAAGCTGTTCGGTTAATAAACAGTACCTGCTCTCATACTGAAAGAAAATTGTGTGTGTATATTTCTGTAGTTAGCTTCCCGAGAGCCTCTGGCTATGAATCAGCAAGCAGTCAGTGTCATTAACACCGAACTCACAGCCAACAGAGTTAGAACTCATGCCTGGGCATAGCTTCTTGAACACAGGGATTTCTTCCTGTGTGAGGCTCATCACGGTCTCCTTGCTCTTGGTGACATTAGACAGGGCTTCAGCACTACTTGGGGGCCGTCTGAAACAGCAAAAGTACCAACAAAAAGCAAAAAAATTGAAAGGAGATAAAAACGGGAGATTTCAGAGCCTGAGCCGATAGCATTTGCTGGGTAGGTGAAAGAGGGTAGTCAAACAGGTCCAGAATCTTGAGGTATTCAGAAATCAGAGTATCTTCCCTGGGATCCCCAAGTACTAAAGGGATTTCCTTCACGGAAGCCCTAGGACTCCAGGTCTGGGGGACATGGGTAGACAGCACCTTCAAGATAACCTCCTACCCTAATTTATTTAACATTTACTTAGCTGATCTTTTTATCAGTTTAAGATATAAATAGTTTAGAACTCACATCATTAAGAAATAAGTAATACCTTCTAAAAAGATGGGGAGAAAAGAGATAGGGCGTGGTGGCTCATACACGTAATCCCAGCACGTTGAGAGGCCGAAGTGTGTTAGAAAAATCCCAAAACGAAACAGGAGCTGTCAAGTCACAAAAATAAGTACAACTGCTTATGAAACTAAATCTCATTCACCACAAGAAAATTGGGAATTGAAAGCTCCGTGAAAAACAATTTTTCTTTCTTTCTCTTTCTCTCTCTCTCTCTCTCTTTTTTTTTTTTCTTTAAGATGGTGTCTCCCTCTGTCGCCCAGCTTGGAGTGCAGTGGCGCCATCTGCTCACTGCAGTCTCCGCCTCCCAGGTTCAAGCAATTCTCCTGCCTCATCCTCCTGAGTA